ACTTAAAAAGAGTCCGACCATCGTTGCGAATGCCAAGGTTCGTTTCGGCGGGTGGCGACATACCTTAAGATTTTTCACGTGAAGAATAAAACCATCAAAAGAAGAAGCAACTAATAATAAATCCAAAATTTGGAGACACATATTTATGGAAGAAAGAAAAGGAACACGTTTGTGAGAAATGGAGCAAATCAAAATATATCTAAAAGTTGAAGCACCAAAAATTTTAAAAATATATAAAATAAAAATTGAGATTCTTTTTTGATGGTAAAAAGGATAAGAGAAAACAAACTATCGTGATTAAAGTTGTACTAATGTGATACAGTTACATAATTTTTAAACTAAAGTCAAACTATTTATTTACTTATTAATTATAAAATGATTTCAGGAAGGCTTATTTTGTTTGTGTCATTTTTTTAGATAATCATTATTGTACCTGTCTGAGGGCACACTCGTAATCTTTTGGTAATTGGGGGGCCGAACGAGAACTTCGGGTTGATACTTCAGGGGGGGAGGTACCTGCAAAAGGCACTCCGACGCTCAAGTCAAGACAAACACGATTCTCTAGGGTAATAAATGAACAGTGACGTACCTCGATATAAGTGACCTATTTATACTACCTTTGATGGGCCTTGCCAGTAGTGGGCCTCTTCTGAAGTTTGCCAAATTAGGTAATACGACACTAATCGGCTGATTATGTCTTAAATACGCGCTTACCCTTGTTAACTTTGATTATTGCCGTAGTACTTGCCTTTATCTGTCGGCCCCTTTCCGGGCCGACAGATGAAGGCTCGGGATGTTAACTATTCTTGGTCTTGGGCCGGATCGGTAGGTATGGGCTGGGTTTCCCTTGACTCTTGGCCTTCTGCCGAGGCGACGCGTAGGAGCACAACACGCGTTCGTGGTTTACGCACCACTAGATAAAGGCTTGGAACTCCATTGCTCTCTCGGTCTCTGGCTGGGCCGATCTGAGGGCGGATCGACCTTCGACCGGGCCGATGTTACCGCTATTGGTGTTTGCACAAGGCCACAGTTGTGTTCCAAGTCCGCGTGGGCGTCTGACGGAGCGACACGTGTTGGTCGATGTGACCGAGGGGACCCTTCCGGTACACAAGCCCCCCAGCCTTTGTGAGTGAAACGACACAAAGGTTAATGTTGCGTTTTCAATGGTGGTGGTTGGGTTAGAGTGTCTAGATTCGTGACTATTGGACACACAACTATTGGCGTTTCGGTTGAAGGGTGACGAGTCGTGACCATTGGACATACAGCTATTGGCGTTTTAACTGCGGGGATGTGAAAGGCTATGACCTTTGGGTTCGTAACCGTTGGGCATTAATGATGGCACGCGAACAGTTACTTTTGTATCAACCGTTGGATCAATTTGATCCAACGATGATTGAAGAGGCGTGTCGTTTGAAATCATCACAAGGAAGGCCTATAAATAGGCGTGTGATGGGGACCCAATAGATACGCATTTGTTGTTTGCTCCGGGCCGAAATCATACTGCAACTGTAGTGTTCAAGCCTTGTCTTTCAGCAAGATCGATCAAGCTTCACTTTGAGGTACGTTATTATGGCAGATATAGATGTGGTTCAGGTTGACTTTTTTGGGGATACTGGTGACTCTTCCGGCACCGGGCCTCACTCCAACTCAAGTTGACAAAATGAATCGGCTTCCACGTCGAATAGGTCGGATGAGCTGGCGACTGTTTCAGGGTCCGGACAGGCTCGAAGAAGCGAAGAATCCTCATCGATTATAGTTTCTGATGGCCGGCTTGCGACGCACAAGGTCGGGTTGGCGTCTCGACGGTTTTCCCCGATAGAAACCCCTGGTTACTCGTGGGTACATGGGGAGGTTGGCAGTGTCTACTCGCGCTATACAGATAGGAATTCTATTGCGCTTTTCGTCTCGACCGTGATATTCTTGACTTTTCCAGAAGAAGAGGAGCCTTCTCCCATCTTCTTCCAGCCGTGCCGAAGCGATGGAGGGCCGAACCCTGATTTCGTTTACTTGGACCAAGGAACATGCAAATACCATTTCTTTTATGTATATGATTATATGTTCCGAGATTTGAAGGTGACGCTGCCCTTCGATGATTATTTTACTGGTATACTTCGGCTTCTGAATATGGCTCCGAGCCAACTCCACCCAAACACTTGGGCAGCCATGCAGGGTTTCTGGCAGCTATGTTTGGCGCTCGGCATCCAGCCTACCCCTCATCTATTTTTATATTATTATTCGTCCCGACCGACTAAGAAAGCTAAATGGTTGTTGTTGGTTCGGCACAGCGACTGCTTGTTACAACCCTTTACCATTTTCTATAAGAAATTCAAAGTGGGATTTATCAAGGTGATGATCCGGCTGGCCACGGGGAATAAGTACTTTTTTGATGCCGAAGGGAAACTGCTTTTCCCACTATACTGGACTCGAAGGCTGCGAAAATACGACACGGTGTCGAAGTCCCAGATGTCTCCAGAAGAGAGGGCCAGCTTAAATTTTTTGGCTCAGCTGCCTGGGCCATTACCGTGCCGACCTTTGGTTCGGTTGTCCGAATCGGCCAACATGGCAGAGGAACTGATTGGTATAGTAACATTCCTACTTATTTGAATTCTTAGGTTGTCATTGATTTTGACTAATGTTGTGCAGGTATCATGGCGAGCTTCGGAAATGATGATCTGGATATCCGGCAGCTGATCGGAAACCGAGTGGCTGCTACCACAGCGACAAAGACTCCGGCCGGCGGGCGCGTGTGTGTGAACCAACTTGCTCCCCAAGGTGGGGGGGCCGGGCCGACCACCAAGGCCAGGAAGGGGGGCAAAGGTCCGTCTATGCCCCAAAGTGAAAAAAGAAGGCCCGAGGAGGCTCGGGCCGTTGATCGGGGTGATCCAGCCAAGCAACCACGTTTGGAAACCTTGCTCGTTCCACAAGGTCTGGTGGAATCAAATTTCTTGGCGGCTAACGTCAATGCTCAGGATTTCCTGAGTCAAGACCTGACGTCGGCATCGGGTCAAGGGGTTCTGAGCTACATGTGTCCGACCTAGAAGTGGAATTTTTTCTCCAAGTTTCAAGTGCGCGCGGTGGCCCTGGCTCAGAGCATTGTGATGGAGCCAAATCCTGAGGCCGACGGGTTGCGTTGGCAACTGTCCGAGCAGGAGAAATCCTTGCAAGAAACTTTGGCTGCTTTAACTGATGCGCAAACGATCAACGCGAAGTTTTAGGCCGAGATGGACTGCCGAGGGCGTGTTGCCGATGACTTAGCTATGAAGGTCCAACATCTTGAACTGTCTTTGAAAATCGAGATGGAGAAGGTGACTGTGCTGGCTAAGGAGTTGGAGGCTGAGAAAGTAGCCTTTGGGGCCTACAGGGAGAAAGCGTGCAACAAGGTACTTTCTCAGCATCAGGCTGGCTTTGCCCAAGCGGCTCGGCAGGCGTCCTTCTTTGGCGACTTCCCCCTTGAATTTCATCTTGATATGACCAAGGACTTCTTCCAGGGTAAGTTGGTGGACTTGGCTTCAATCCCTCCAGACCAACAAGCCGACGAGGAAGCTCCGGTGCGGCCAGCTGGGCCGAATGGGGAGGAGACGGTGTACGAGGAGGGTGTGCCTAAGGACGGTCCGGTTCAGGGGGAATTGGAGGTGGTGACTTAAGCTTTTTTGTTTTTTGCTCTTTTGTAATGATGGGCCGATAGAGCCTAATTAAATGTACTGTTTGGGCCGACATTGCCCTTAATGAAATTGTGCTTTGATTGCTTCCGTATATTAGGCATGCCCAACTATAAATGCGACTTGTAAAAAATTAACGTAAGCCATAACCTTAGCCGAGAGATATCTCGGGAGGGAAGACGAAATCTAACGTAAGCCACATCCTTGGCCGAGAGAGATCTCGGGAGGGAAGACTTGTAAAAATTTAACGTGAAAAACTTAATGTTAAAAAGTTGTGGCCATCTCGGGTATCTGGAATGTATATTTATTAACGAATTGATGCCTCGTTAAAAACCTTGTCGATCAAAAACCCCTTTTCACATTTTTATAAGGGGAAAAAAGATTGGCCAAGGAAAAGAGTGCATCATGATACATGTACAATGATTTAAGTGTTACAAAGTGGAATTTAGCTATAATATGTCTTCATATGGGTTGCATTCCACGATCTCGGGATGACCTTGCCGGACAGCTCCTCGAGCTTGTAAGCTCCATTGTGGAGAGTATGCCGTATCCGGAACGGGCCGTCCCAGTTGGCCGAGAGCTTTCCCTCAGAGGAGTTATGCCATGCCGACCCGGTTGCTCTCCATACAAGATCGCCTTCATGAAATCTCCTCGACTTTAAGTTGGAATTAAAGCGTCGGCTCATCTGTTGTTTGCACGCTTCGGCCATAACTTGTTTCTTCTCTCTTACTTCGTCTAGAACATCAAGCTCTGCCCGAAGTGAGTTGTCATTGGACTCTTCGTGGAAGTGCTGCCGACGGAATGATGGTTCCCCAACCTCTACCGGAATCATAGCATCCGCGTCGTATGCTAGATGAAAGGGTGTTTCCTTGGTGGTTGATTAGGGTGTGCATCGATACGCCAAAAGGACTTCCGGTAACTCTTCGGCCCATGCTTCTTTTGCCGATCCTAACCTCTTTTTTAATTCTATCAATATGACCTTGTTGGCCGCCTCGGCTTTCCTGTTTGACTGAGGATGCTCAACTGATGTGAACCGGTGCCGAATGCCAAGATTTTCAAGGAAAGAGTTGAACTTTTTGTCAGCGAACTGAAGGCCATTGTTCGAGATGATGGCGTATGGGATGCCGAAACGGGTAACCATATTCTTCCAGACAAACTTCTAGACGTTGGCGACGGAGATGCAGGCGAGCGGTTCGGCTTCTATCCACTTGGTGAAGTAATCTACCGCAACGAGGAGAAACTTGACCTGCCCCCTTGCCACTGGGAAAGGTCCGAGTACGTCAATACCCCACAAGGCGAACAACCACGGGGAACTGATACTGTGTAATTCGGCAGCCAATGCGTGGATGAGGTTTCCGTGCTTCTGGCATTTCACACATTTTTTTACGAACTCGGTGCAATCTCCCTTTAGAGTCGGCCAATAATAGCCAGCTCGCAAGACTTTGGCCGCCAAGGTTCGCCCCCCCGAGTGAGAGCCACAGATACCTTCGTGGATTTCCCGCATCACATAATCTGCTTGATGATCGTCAATGCATTTGAGCAGCGGGGTGGAGAATCCTCGTCTATAGAGCTCATCGGTTACCATGAAGTACCAAGCCGCTTGTGTTCGTATTTTCTCTGCTTCCACTGGATCGTCCGGCAATTCGCCGTTAATTATGTAGTGCCGAATAAGGGTGATCCAGGAGGGTGCTTCTTCATCTATCGTCATGCACTCGGCAGTTACACATGGAGAGGGAATCTCAAGATGAATGGTGGTCCGCAACTGCCCTGGTTTTCGGCTGCTAGCGAGCCGAGCTAGCTGGTCGGCGCGTTCGTTGTTGTTGCGAAGGATGTGCCGTACCTGAACTTCGCTGAAGCCGCCCTTGATTCCCTGGAACAGGTGATAGTACTGCAACAAGTTTGAGTCCTTGACTTGAAAATTATTGTTGACCTGTTCGGCCAGGATCTTTGAATCGGTCCAGCATATAACTTTTTTCACACCCATTTTGGTTGCTAATCGCATCCCGGCTAACAAGGCTTCGTATTCTGCTTGATTGTTAGACGCCCAGAAGCCGAAACGAAGGGACTGTTCAACTGTGATACCTGAGGGGCTAGCAAGGATTACCCCCGCACCACTGCCTTGGGCATTAGAGGACCCATCGACATGCATGGTCCATGGCTCATCCTGAAAACATTCAGGAGGAGTCAATTCGTTGACAAAGTTAGCTAGGTACTGTGACTTGATAGGACCTCTCGGCTCGAAAGATATATCAAATTCGGAGAGTTCGACCGACCAAGCCATCATTCGGCCAACGATCTCGGGCTTTCGAAGCACTTTCGCAACCGGGCAATCAGTTCGGACGACTACCTTATGACTTTGGAAGTACTATCTCAGCCATCAAGCCGCGTAGATGAGTCCTAAGGCCACTTTCTCCAACAGTTGGTACCGCCGTTCGGCATCTTGCAACGTCTGGCTGATAAAATATATTGGTCGCTGATCGCCATGATGCTCTTGTACCATGACGGCGCTTATAGAGTTGCCCGATACTGCTAAGTAAACTATCATGTCTAGGTTTCCGTCTAGTTTAGACAGTATTGGGGGCGTTCCGAGGCGTTCTTTGAACTGCCGGAATGATTCTTCGCACTCCTCGGTCCACCGCTCCGTCTTCTTGAGTAAATGTAGAATAGGCTTGGCTATCTCGGCCAGGCGAGGGAGGAATCGGGAAAGTGAGGTAAGTCGACCTGCTAGCTTCTGAACCTCTTTTAAAGTGCTTGGGCTTTTCATATCCAAAATGGCTTGGCATTTGTCGGGGTTGGCCTCAATGCCTCGGTCGGACAACATGAACCCCAAAAATTTGCCGCCGGAGACCCCGAACACACATTTCTCGGGGTTGAGCCTCATTTGGTGTTGCCGGAGCGCTTGGAACACATCGGCCAAGTCGCGCACGTGGGTGGATACGTCACTCGACTTTACGACCATATCGTCTACGTATACTTCCATGCTTCGGCCAATCTGGGCATTAAAGATCTTATTCATCAGACGCTGATAGGTGGCTTTGACATTTTTTAACCCGACTGGCATCACCCTGTAGCTATAGTTGGCCGTTTCGGTAATGAACGTTGTCTTCTCTTCGTCTTGAGGGTGCATACGAATCTGGTTATACCCCGAGTATGCATCGAGGAAAGACAAGAACTTGTGACCGGATGCCCCATCGACAAGTCGGTCAATATTCGGTAATGGGTAAGCGTTTTTCGGGCAAGCTTTGTTCAGATTTGTGTAGTCGGTACACATATGCCATTTCCCATTCGATTTCTTGACCATGACGACATTGGCCAGCCATGTTGTATAGTGCACCTCTCGAATGAACTGAGCGTCTAACAGCTTGCACACTTCAGCTTCAATCGCTGCTTTCCTCTCTTCCCCGGCCTTACGGCGCCGTTGAGCGATCGACCTTGCCTCTTTTATGATTGAAAGCTTGTGGAAAAGGAAGTTTGGGTCGATGCCAGGCATGTCTGAGGGATGCCATGCAAACAAGTCTCTTTTGTCAAGGAATACTTATTCAATAGCTGACCTTTCTTGTTCAGACAGGACGGTCCCCAGGTAAGTAAGTTGGGAATTTAAGACTCTTACCTGTAGAGGCTGCTTATCTTCGATGGGTTCGACCCTCTCATCTTGATCTATCCGGGGGTCAAGGTCTATGGACGATTGCTGTGACACCGAGTGAACGCCTCTCGGCTCCTCGGGGATTTCGTTTTTCTTTTTTGGTAACCTTAGGCTAGCGAAGTAGCACTCTCGTGCGGTCTTCTGATCAGCATGGACAGTGATTACTCGTCCCGACTCGGCCGGGAACTTCATGGCTAGGTTAGGAGTGGAGACGATTGCACCAAGCCGATTCAAGGATGGTCGGCCAAGCAGAATGTTGTAGGATGTGTTGGCGTGAACCACCACATATTTGACTGAAACATCCCGGTATTCTACTCCTTCAAACCCGAATCTGGTTGGCAGCTTGATATATCCTTTCGTCTTGACTCGCTCGCCCGAGAACCCCACCAAAAGTTCATCATATGGAACTAGTTCAGTTTCCGAGATGCCCAATTGCTTGAATGTGTTCCAATAGAGGATGTCGGCCGAGCTCCCCTGGTCGACCAGAGTTTTACGCACAATACAGTTGTGAATTTCCACGCTAAATACCATCGAATCATCTTGGTCCGGGTCGATGCCTTTGAAATCGGCCTCGGTAAAGGTTATGCTGGGCAAATGGCGATGGATTTTTTCTACCGCGTGTACGTGCCGAACGGCTCGCAGATGCCTTCCTTGTGCCGATGAGGTGGAGCCACCTCCAGCAAATCCGCCTGCTATAGTGTTGATGACTCGCCGAGGTTGTGTTGAAGGCTCTGCTTCTCTTCGGTCTCTTAACCGACTGCGTTCTCTGTAGGAGCTTGTTTCTGCTCACCTTTGCTCAGGCCGATCATGCTGGCAAGACCGGTCGGCATATCGGGATGAGTCCGGTCGGTCTACGAAACCTTGTAGTTGGCCCTGCTTGATCAAATCCTCGATTTTATCCTTCAAGGCCGAGCATTCTTTAGTTGAGTGTCCTCGATTGCGATGGTATTTGCAAGATTTTGTTGTATCGGCCCTAGGAAGGGTCGAAGCTCTCTTCGGGACTGCTAGCACCTTTGAGGCAAGTGCTTCCTCTAATATGGCCGACCTGTTGGTGTTGAGCAGCATATACTGCGAGTATCTTGGCCCGCGAGGGGGCTTCTCGCAGGGAACCAGTTCTTTTGGGCGACTCCGAAAACTATTCTCGGCCGGCCTCTCAGGTTTTGCAGCCACCTCCACCCTGGCTTGGTTACAGAACTCAGCTAATTCCTCCATCTGCATGTACTTGTCGGCTCGTCGACGCAAGTCATCCATGTCGGTTGGTGGTTTCTTGCAAATGCTGTTGGCAAAAGGTCCGAGTTTCAGAGTAGTAGTAAGGTGGTGGAGGGCTACAGCGGGGTTCAAGTCGCGAATCTCCAATGCTGACTTGTTAAATCGGCTCATGAATGCCCGAAGGGATTTTTTCTTCTCTTATCAAATGCTGACCAAAGCCAAAGAGGTCAACTGGTGGGGGCGGCTCGTAGCAAATTGGATAGTGAATTGAGCGGCTAACGTGCTAAACGAGTCGATCGAGTTAGCTGGAAGTCGAGTGAACCAGCTTAACGCGTGCCCTTTTCAATGACGTTGGGAAGATTCGGCACAATGCCGCATCATTAGTGGTGCTCAGAGTGACTTGAGTCAGGAACACATCTACGTGCTCGTCTAGATCGGTCGTCCCGTCGTACTTGTCCAATGGCAAGGACTTCCAATGGTCGAGAAGTGAAGATTGCATGATGTTTGGGGTGAACGGGTGTCGGTGAGTGCCGGCCGGGATGACATGGACGAGTCGGCCAGGAGCCTGCACCGAAGCGTGATTTCCCGGGGCAGCGACGGAAGTGTGCGGGATAGAAGTGTGATGGCTGAGTGAGTGAAACGACCCCTGAGTGTGGGTTGGATCAGAGGGTTTCCACGTGGGGTCCCGATGTTGGTTTTTCAGAGCGGCGTTTTCTTCTCTCAATGCAACCATCTCATGAGCATCTTTCTCTTGTTGTCGCTTCATGGCGACCATCTCTTCTTTCATTTGGCGTACTATCTCGGCCATGTTCGTCTTGTCGACCGTCTCGGCATTGTCTGCCTCAGATTGGAGGTCTTCAACGTTTGTTCTCCTTGTCTTTGCCATGATTCCCTTCAAACTAGTGCTTAGTCTGTCTTCGCAAAACTATCGGTTCGGCCCCACGGTGGGCGCCAAAATGTACCTGTCTGAGGGCACACTCGTAATCTTCTGGTAACTGGGGGGTCGAATGAGAACTTCGGGTTGATACTCAGGGGGGGAGGTACGTGCAAAAAGCACTCCGACGCTCAAGTCAGGACAAGCACGATTCTCTAGGGTAATAAATGAACAGTGACGTACATCTATATAAGTGACCTATTTATACTTCCTTTGAGGGGCCCTGCCAGTAGTGGGCCTCTTCTGAAGTTTGCCAAATTAGGTAATACGACACTAATCAGCTGATTATGTCTTAAATACGCGCTTATCCTTGTTAACTTTGATTATTGCCGTAGTACTTGCCTTTATTTGTCGGCCCCTTTCCGGGCCGACAGATGAAGGCTCGGGATGTTAACTATTCTCGGTCTTGGGCCGGATCGGTAGGTATGGGTTGGGTTGCCCTCGACTCTCGGCCTTCTGCCGAGCCGACGTGTAGGAGCACAACATGCGTTCGTGGTTTACGCACCACTAGATAAAGGCTTGGAACTCCATTACTCTCTCGGTCTCTGGCTGGGCCGATCTATCTGAGGGCGGATCGACCTTCGACCGGGCCGATGTTACCGCTATTGGTGTTTGCACAAGGCCACAGTTGTGTTCCAAGTCCGCGTGGGCGTCTGACGGAGCGACACGTGTTGGTCGATGTGACCGAGGGGACCCTTCCGGTACACATTATTGATAAAGGAAGTGGAGTAAACGAATTGTGTTCAATTTTTATATTTTGAACTTCTAAAAATTAAATATAAATAATTCTTAAATGTCGATTAGTTAAGACCATTAAATAATTAAGCTAGAGAAAACCTCATTTTATCTCTACCATTTTTTTGTTATCATCTATTTTTTTTCTTCAAAATATAAAATATCAGGAATCCAAATTTTATTGTTGTTATTGTTGATTGGAGAGAGAAAGGAAAGTGTTATTAAGTTTTTTTTTTAAGAGTCAAGATATTTCTATCTTTATCTTTCAGTTTTTTAATGGCCAAGATTAATTTATATTTAAAAGTTTTAAAAATATATTAAAAAAATAGATTTTTTGGTATATATTAAAAAAAATAGATTGATTATAGAGTTTTGCACCCCAAGCTCTTTCTCTTAGAATATGGATTCCCCCACTAAAAAATAACGGCCTTCATTCTCACAAAACAAATTTTCATATTCTTTTTTTATCAAAAATAAAAAGAAAAAATAAAAAATAAAACAAACATAAGGTGCATCTTATTTAAAGAAAAATGATCCCCTAAAAAAATAACAGCACAAATTCTCTAGTTTTTTTTAAGTTTATAAAATAACAAATATAAATATCGACCTTTATTCACCTGCAAATTAATGAATCAACATTTGACGATTGATTGCCAAATACGTTTTCTCAATTGATAAATGAATATATGCATAGCTATCAATTTGTTCCTTTAAACAAACTTTATGATATATCATTCATAACTATCAATTTCATTATTTAAACACAAAATAATTAATATTATATTTAACATTATCAACAATAAAAAAAAAATTGCATGGCAAAGGAAGAATACAAAAATGTTTCAGATAAATAAATCTAGTAATCAAAATTATGCAAGCTAACTAAAATACCTATGTAATGCATGTAAAATGCGAGAAAATATGTAAAAACCAAGAAAAAAAAATAGAAAGTAAAAAATAATCGGTGCTTTTTCTAAAAAGATGAGTGTCAAAATTGAGATATCTTACGACATGAAAAAGAAATTGTGAATGAGAATGAAAACTTCACCACTATTAAAAAAATTTATTTGTAAAATTATAACACAGTGTTAAAATTAATTTATGTATTCAATATATACTATAAAATATAGAATTATAATAAAAATGCCTCTTATGCTATGCTAGAATCTTCATCTTCTTGTCTTTTTTATCTGTCTTATATTCTTTTTGATCATCATTAATGTTAGTGTCAATGTCACTTTTGGTCATTCTTCTAACTCTATTAACTCTTTATTTGATTCGACAATATCCAAATATAGTCTACTAAGATAATACCTATTTAAAATCTCTCCATCTTGACTTATTGATGGTGTCTAATTGTCCTCATGTATCACTCAACTCATTGAGTTGATACGATTCAAAGTCATATTCATATGGCAATGAAAAAAATATTTCTTGGCTTCACTTTAACTAAAGTGTACCAATTTTTTTTGTCACTATCTTTTGCATAATAAACCAACCTAGCTTGTGAATTTTAGATATTAAATTTTCTAAAATTATTAAAAGGATGTTTTAATTAATTAAATAGATTTTATAAATACATTAAAGATTCTTTAAATAATTATGAATTTTTTATTAATTAAAGAAGGATTTGAGAAATTATTTGTTAAAACTAATTATTAGAGATAAATATATATTTGACATCTTTTAACGTATTTTGATTATATATTATGATTTTAATTAATTGAGGAAATTCTATGAAGAGTAATATAGTTAATAAATAAATTTATAAATAATTTTATAATTGAAATAGATAAGATTTAGGTAATGGATAATTAGAAATATTTTATTTTCTTATCTAAAAAGGAATATTTTGAAATTAATGAATTATTATGTATTATTATTTTATAAGATAAGAGTATTAAACTGTGGTTAAAATTGTTTTTACGGACCGATTAAATGCAAGTTAGAATTTTTAGTTTATCTATATATAGAATAGTGAGTTAGGGTTGCCTTACACATCTTATATTCTAAATTCCATGCTTTTGTGCTCTAAAGAAGAGAAATGACTCATCATTGAGAGAGAACAACAATAACACACAAAAGAGAATATAAGATAGAAAAATTGTTGTTCAATTTGCATAACCACTAGATAGCAATTTTCTAATTGCAAATGGAGATTTGTTCACCATTAGACCAGGCTGATTTTTAGGCAGCATATTCGTAGGATGTTATTCTTTGTTTTCAATGGTGGGATTGTCTAAAGCATGTCTGGAATGAGACAAAAAAGTTTCAAAGTTAAAGCTCTACTTTTGGCAGTTTTCATTTTCTTTCCTAGAAACATCCAGAGACAATCTTGGAGATTCACATATGGAGTTTGGCGATTATCAAGGTAAGGGGGAGTGAGAACCTCATTCCAGGGTGTGGGTTACCTATGAGGTAGTAGAATTGGCCCAAATTTTGTTTGTCTGTGTGAGATGCATGATGGAGTAAACCTAATTTTGATTGTGACTATAAAATTTATGGTATCTGTGAATTCCCTCATGTTTTGATTATGGTATTATATTATAAATTGCATTATGGATCTGTGAGATTGTCTATAACTGTGAATTTATGAGTACCTATGGGTTTTGGGGAACTCTAAGGATTAATACAAAATAAATTATTAGGGAAACTAATTTTGAATAGGAAACCTATAGAGTAGGAAAAAATAACTATATTATAGATCACCTACTACCACATAATTTTGTGGAGCCACATCTGTAGGTTGTATCATTCATAATTCGTACATTATGTAGAAAAAAACCCTTACTGATATTGCCCCAGCTACCACATGGGGCCATTAGGCGTGAAGCAACATAGGGTCTTTGTGACGATCACACTAGGTGTGATATGGACCACGCCAAGCATAAGAGACATAGAGTGCTCATGGTGGTGTTAACACCAGGTGTGAGCATGGTCATGCCAAGAGCGAAAGTTATTGGGGCTCCTTGTTATGAAATTCATTGGGCACGAGGAGTGTTTTGTCGAGCGTGATTCTCTTGGAAAGCATAGAGTGCTCTCAGCCTCGACCATGTTGGGCATAAGGCATCCCTCACTGAGCATTGTCCTGTGCCTACAACTAAATTACATGTAATTGATTGATGAATGTTAATAACTTTTAGATAGGTGAACCATTTAAACTAGTTGATTTTGATAAGGGAAGTGTGTATGCTTAAGAATGTAATGTGGAATTTTAGTAATACGAGAACGAGTGTGTTGTTTGTGACACCCTTCTACCCTAAAATAAATAAGTAAAATATAAAATTTCTAGAAAATAAAATAAAATTAATAATAAAACTTTCTCATCAATACTAGTAAAAAGGTTCACAAAACGTTATTCATTACTTGATTAAATGAAAAAAATATTATTTGAATCAAAATAAACATAACCTCCTAAATATTAATGTTCTAACAATAAAACATAATTGAAAGAAACTCAACAGTTCAACAATTACTATAATTAAACCCTGGCTCAATGTTAGATTATCAGAGCAAAAACCTTCTTTATGTCTTCCCCTCATCAAACACATCTTTTTGTACCTATTCTAATCCAGTAAATGGCATTCAGCTCAAACATAAACATATAAACATAGGGATTGAGAATACATCTCATCTAGAGATGTCATATACAAGACATAAAGGTAGACATACACACATATAATATCAATTACATCTCACATACCACACTACTACAAAAAGAATAATCTAAGTCGCTCAATCTAAGTCGGTTTACTGAAAAACGATGTAGAATAAGATGCGGTGACATTTTTGTAAATAAAAGAAGTCAATACTAGTATATCTACGACGGTTTTTGGTAAAACCGACTTAGATGTGAAGTGATCTACAACGGTTTTTGTGTAAAACCGACTTAGATGGAGACCCAAATTTCGTGCCTTCCCCCTTCATTCATGCGCGTCGTTCAGTCTCGCAGCGAAACAAATAACAGAGCCAGAAACGAAGCATTTGCCCTAACATTATTTCAGAAACGAAGCATTTCCCCCTTCAAGCCTCTTTGACTATCACTGCGTACACCGCACAAACAACTTTCCTAAGCTATTGAGAAACGAAGCACGCTCACGCTATTTCCTAAGCCTCTTTGATTATCTCTTTATCTCGCGTTTTGCCCTTGCTATTTCTTAAGCTATTGAGAAACGAAGCACGCTCACGCTTTTCTTTCGCTCTCCGTGCGACGTCGTTTCGCCAACAAACAACGGCACCGACACTCCTTTCTCTGCATTTCTAAGGTATTTTTTTTACCTTGTATGGGAAGAAAATAACCCTATTGCTATGTATGGTGGGGGTGAAGCTAATTATTTGTGCTTTGCTTCTTTGCTTTTTATCTTTTTTCCTTAGTGTTTGAAGTTTTACACTATTTTTTTTATGGTTTTTGAATTCTCATGATTTTTTCTGTTGATTAGTCTGCAGATGTTGTTCACAGTAATTTTATCTATTATTCTGAGTGTTGACTGTGTTTTCTGAGTGAAACTTGATATTGTGTCAAAATTGTGAACAAATGTGGTTATGTATGATTATCACTTTCTCCTTTTGCTATTTTTGTTTTTAACAAACCTATATTGTTTTGTTCTGCGCTACGTTTAATCACTGAACTGAGTGTTTAAAATTGTCTTGATTGAAAATATATTTTGGCTTGTGTTCTTTTACCCATTCGCAAGTAGTTTATCTTCATGGTGATTGTATTTTATGATTTTGCTTTTGTCATTTGATTTGATCAGTTTGCATTGTCAATGCTGATTTGGCTACATTGATTATGCTAACACAATATGAATGCTTTGATTTGGAATTAGGAGGTATTACTGATTTCTTTTCATTCAATTTGACATAATATTTGAAAGGACATGCAAAGTAATTTTACTTAACAGGAATTGATAGGCTTGAGAAATGATCCACTAATTTGGAAGGAATACCTACTGACTAGTACTAAAAACACCAAGGAGACATAGGACAGATCACAGTAACTGAAAGAAGAACACAACCTGCTCATCAGGATTGAGTCTCTTCTCTTTCGAAGGCTTTGGGCCTTTGTTCCAACTAAACTAAGCCCAATTTCAATCTGCTAGCCTGGTGTAACAGAAGGGATATGATATAACATTGTATTCTCAAATTTTTTTTTAGTTTAGCATTAGCACCAAATGCAAACAAACCAGCATCTGTTTAACAATAGGGGGGCTTTGTTTGTTTGTTTGCTCAGCAAAAAAGGGACCTTTTTTCTTTATTCATGTTATCCCCTCTTTTCTTTCCTTTGTATAGCAGACAATTCATACTTTCTTATCTTATTATTACAGTTAAAAATTTAGTCAATGGCCTTTTCTACTCAGATTATCACCTTTTCAAGGTTTGACAACAAAGTTGTAATTTAATAATGGTAAATAAAATGTGCTGGCATTCTAACACAGGGAAGTTATGGTTTATTTTATATTATATAGAATTAGATTTTGATTCTGGAAAATGATGCAATTGCAAAGGCTAACCCAATTTGCGAAAAGCCTACTATAATGTACGAACAAATCTAACCAAATTGCTGAAAAAATTGTAAGTATTTTTTTTAAAATAAAACTATTTACCAATTTACTCAAAAATTTTATTCTATGATAAATTGTAAACTAAATTTTTTTATTGTAGAATGAGTTGGATGAGCAAGCATCACAGGGTTCCTTTGTTCTTGACGGGCGTCAAGATATATTGAATACTGCCCTTAGACGACCAGAGCATCCTGGTCGTGTTCGTGCAGCTCGTGTTGGTACTACTATTGGTCAGTACTTTGGACAACGCCAGTCACAAGGATTATCAATAGCTATATTAACCCCCAAGGATTTGGAACTCCTCACACAGCAAGTTGTTGCACAGCTCAAGAAAAATGATATCAATAATACACAGACACAGGATGTTCCTCCAGTTCAAGTAGATCTTGTACCTGGTAGTAGTAAAGGTAGTTGTCCAACTCCTTCAAGTGCTACTGCTACGACTGGTAATGCATTGGGGGATGAGCCTCATGTTGATATCTCTCGTCTGTGTGAGTTATGCATCGATGATATACCACCTCGTGTAGTGGCCATTGGTAGAGTTTATGAGGGTAGTTCAACCATACACCATGTACCTCTATCAGTTGATTTGGTCAAGGTGGTTGTTGAGTTTGTCCGAGATTTTGATGCTCATGTTCCTGTGCCTACTTCAGAGGTTCAACTGGTTGGACATGCCCTACAAACTTTCATTTCATGGCCGAGACGTCTTCTGAGACATATTTCATCATCTAAGCAGACACATGATATTCCAACAGTTCATAGGTCCAAACCCAGTAATGATCCTATATGTGATTTGCGTGAGGCATCATTGACCTTAACTTATGGCAACCCATTTAAGGTGACATTGTCTTATTTATATAAAGACAATTTAACATTTTTTGTTTTAGGTTGGTTACTTATCCAACTTGACCATTTCAGGTGATATGTCCTGGAAGTCTATTTGGTGTCGGTGTTGATGATTTTGTGTTCTATATTACATTCGATGATATACGTGAATTAATAGAACGTTAAATGCTTAACATCTCAATCATACCATTTTGGATGTTGTAAGTACACAATTCTTATTAGTATCAATATTTATTTAATTAATTATGATTCATTCATAATTATTTTTTATATAAATTTTAGTTATCTAAATCAAAAAATTGAAGAGCATGGCTATGATGACTTGTATGGATTTTTAGAGCCCCAGTCCACACAAAAATCAGGGAATAAGAAAGAGGAAAATATAAGTTATATCAGTGATAGGATAAAGAATTCCCAGAAACAAATTTACTTAGCTCCTTACATTGATCAGTAAGTGCATGTTTCTTATTGCATTTAATTTATGTAAATTATATATGTATTGTTTAACTAATTTTGGCTTAATGTAGAAATCATTGGCAGTTGTTGGTTCTTTGTCCTATAAGTAATGTTGCTGTATGGTTTTGTTCTTTGCATCATAAGCCCACTATGCATGTCAAAAATTTAGTCAAAAGGTAAACCTTAATTTTTACACATGTTTTAATTTTATGCTCTTTATTATAAAATTTTAATAATGTAACTTACATTCATTTTATTTTCTTTAGTGTTATGGCTATGTATAATGTCATAAATGGTAGATCTACTGCATTATCAAAGAACTTAGAATGGATTTACCCCATGGTAAGTGGTTTGTAATTAAAGTCAATGTTCCTAACAAGTGTCTTTTATTGTCTTAATTAAAAAAATTACTTATACTACTCAATTTGGTTTTCATTTTAGAGTTATAAACAACAAGGACATTACGAATGTGGATACTATGTCATGAATTGGATGTCAGAAATAATTGAAGGGGGTATAGAAAATGGTTGGAGTGAGGTACATTTAAAAATATTGTTAATTTCTTTTAATGCTTATTATGATGTAACTAATATATGATGTATATATGTTGCAGCTTTTTGAAGATGCTACAGTATTGGAAGAAACCAAATTGGAAGACATTCGGATTCATTAGGGAAATTTCTTTTTAGAAAAATTTAGAAATAGATCATGTTGAAAGGTTTAGTATTACATGTAAAATTTAGAAATAGGTGAACGTGGCTTTAGCATTAGGCGGCTAAGTACATGTCTAATGTAGTATGACCTAATTTTTTTGAGCTTCTCTTCTCTTTGTAAGAAAATACTCTTCTTTTTGGATCTCAGATAGGTCTGTCTTGATTTTTGAGTATATGGCTTCTTTAGTATTATTTATTATATAATGATAATGATGTAATTGAGTCATTCTTATAATGATAAGGATCTCATATTGGCCTCTTTTGGTTTATGTTGGATTTTGATGTGGCTTCTCTCACATTGGATAATTGGATTAGTTTTATTGAATCAGTTTTTACATATTTATAATTTAGTCAGTTTTATTTTAAAAATTAACCTGATTCAAAAAATATAATTTACAATGGTTCTACAACAAAACCGACTTAGATGTGTGTTAATCTAAGTCGGTTTTTGTCAAAAACTGACTTAGATCAACACATACATCTAAGACTGTTTTATGAAAACTGACTTAGATCAACACATACATCTACGACTGTTTTATGAAAACTGACTTAGATCAACACATACATCTACGACTATTTTATGAAAACTGACTTAGATGAACACACATATCTAAGTCGGTTTTTACATAACCGACGTAAATATGTTTATTCATCTACGTCGCCTTCATCTAAGTTGGTTTTAGAACCGATGTAGATATGACAAAATAACTGACTTAGAATACAATCTTTCTAGTAGTGCCATAGTCAATCTCATATATAATAGTAAAAACAATTAATATATCTTCATCCATCATTCACTATCAACCCAATTACATCTCACATACCATAGTCAATCTCATATATAATAGTAACAACAATTAATATATCTCCATCCATCATTCACCATCAACCCATCTCAAGATACAACATAACAATAAATTAAAACTCATTTAATGCATGCTTCTAACTTTACATGCATATGGTACCAATCTCCTCCTCATCATCGAGTATGTGATACCCTTACTACCCTAACACATATATTGTAATAATGTAATTAAACTAAGGAAATAAATTTTTCAACATTGGTAAAAAGGTTCACATGAAAATCTTCATAAATGTTCTTCAATATCCAAAATAATTAAAAAATAAAAATTAGAAGATAAAACATAAGAGTTTACAAATTATTTTTAAAATAATAAGTACAACTCCAACTATATATAAAAAAATCCATGTCCTAGAAATCCTCTGCGCCGATGTCACAATATCAGAGCACACCCACAATTCAACTGTTGGCATTTAGATGCCACTCATAGCTGGATCTTCCTCACCTAAAATATCTACAAATTGTACAGTGAGAAAAGAGAACATCTATATGTAAAGCACACAAGGAAAAACCACCACATAATCTCATTATAACTCATTATTTAATGAAATATTTACAAGCATTTCTATATATCCTAATTCTATCAATCATGCATCATCTTCACATCACAATTCACAATCACACCAATCCATCACAAATTTTACAATTAACACTACGCCAAGGCCATGCCACCCCTGTAGCATCTCTTTCCCAAGGTCGTGCCACCCCTGACATAAGTGTGAGGAATCACACATCCCACACTATGCCAAGGTCACGCCACCCTTGTAACATCTCTGGCCCAAGGTCGTGCCACTCCCGACATAAGTGTAAGTAACCACAACCACGTTTCATTCATAATCATCACAAATCTTGCAATTAACACTATGACAGGGTCACGCCACCCCTATAGCATCTCTTGCCCAAGGTCGTGCCACCCCCGACATAAGTGTGAAGAATCACACATCCCACACTATGCCAAGGTCACACCACCCCTGTAGCTTCTCCTACCCAAGGTTGTGCCACCCCCGACATAAGTGTGAGGAATCACAATCACATCACATTCACATTCCACACAACATCTCATTTCATGTCAACATACACACATCATAATTAATTGAACAATTAAGTCATAACATACCATTTGCCACATCATGTTGTCAATTCAATACTAAAACGGTAGATATAATGTATACATTTGTGCCAAGACATCACCCCACATTCTCACATACACAAAATAGATAAGTCCACACAAAATAGTGGTTCAACATACCCCTCAAGCAATTCATCATGAATCCACATCTAGATCATCAATTTTTACCATATAATATAACAATAAAATTTATAAATTAATATAAAACCCGATTGAATCACCAATTTAATAGAATCTTAACTTAGATATTAAAACACCTAATTTTTCCAAAACCTAACTCACAGGCACTTTTCTACAATTTCATTCTCTCTCCCAGATCATCATTTTTATAAATTATTTGCATATATTCATAATCCTAAACACATACAGAATCTCATAATACCAATAATTCTCCAAACATAAATAATTATAAAATTATTAAAAATTCCACAGGAACTCTTCTCCACCCATTCTCTCATGTAACTCTACACATAAATCTCCCATTTTCTCCCGTACCTCGATAAGCAGTAGCTGAAACTAAAGCAGGATCTGGTTGGTCTCCTCCTCTAGGTTCCCCTCGGTCTTCAGAGAGTGTAGATGGAAAGGAAATCAAAAGTGAAAAATGTGCTTTTGGGAGTGCTAGAGGGTGTTATTTATAGACATTAGGAATGGCCAGAACGACCCGTTTCAAATCTAGAACGACCCATTTTGGACTCATTCGTCATGTGTAAAATTCACATCCAGAACGAGTCGTTCCCAACTAGGGTTACAAGCCTTTTTGGTGATTTGGAACGCCCCGTTCTAGTTGGGAATGACCCGATCCCAACTAGGGTTTATAAGCCTTTTTAGTAGTTTGGAATGACCCGTTCCATTTTGGGAATGGTCCGTTTTGGGCTACTAAATCACTCTTATTGGGCTTTGAGCCTTTGTATAATCTGTGAAAATTGGGGTGTTATAGAGTATACTAAATATCCTAGGAGTAATGGAACGAGATCACCCCATCAAATAGTTTAGGGACAACTTGTAACGGCCTAGATAATCTACGACTTCAATATAGTCTTCTAGCTATGTCAAGAATAACCTCTTTCATATGCTCTGTATCTATACAATCTATAACACCCCTTAGATTTGACGTCTTAGTAGCTCAATTCCATGACACTTCACACAATGAAACTTTACACAACTCCTTGTTAGTCATAGCCCTTCACTAATCAGAACCCTTCATGGGTAGACTTTTCTGAGATGTCTATCCACTTTTAGGATCAATGACTGACCCCATAAAACACAAGACTTTTCAATGTATTTTTCCCCCACTCGCACGCTTTTTGAAAAACTTCCCAAAAGATTACCTATCCCTAAATAACTCCAAAGCAAACAAGCTTAACTATGAAGTTCATTTGTGATGAGCTACCAAAAAATAGATGCATCTTGTTGTTATGGGTAGTAAAAATTAATTCCTTTAAGTCATTCTCAACTATTCCCTCTCATTTTGGTGTGTCCAAGCTGTTATAAGCCCACCAAATTTTGCCTAGTTCATCCTTGAACTACACCATACTCGGAGAGAGTACCTACTCTAATACCATTTGAAATAGCCCTCAAATTTGACATTTCAATGACTTCACTCCATGACACTTCACACAGTGACACTTCACACAACCTCTCGTTGGTTAGAACCCTTCACCAATCATAAACTTTCGTGGGTAGCTTTTTCTAAGATGTTCATTCGCTTTTAAGATCAATGATTGACCTCACGAACCAACACAATGTTGAGATGATGAAGATGATGGCACATCTTGAAGACTCATGAAGATTGTTTTAGTTTTGATGATATGTATTACATAGATGTTGCTTAAACCTATACAAAAGGATATTGTATTGATTGTGATAGATATAGGCTTGTGTGTGTGTTTGTTTATGTTTGATGATGATGATGATGAATGCTTAATTCAAGAACTAATGAAGTTTTTTTAAGAAACCAAGAATTTTATTTTTTTAGTATTTCCATGTGTAAACATAAAGTAATAGATTATCATGAAAAGATAATTTACTACCAAGTGTTTAAACATAGAAATATGACTTGATTCAAACAAGAGTTTTCAAGGTAACTTTGTTAATCAATTACCATTCAGGGTAATAGATTACCAAGTATGTTATTGGAAAAGGATATTCAAATGTCCTTTGTGTTAATAGATTTCCAAGTCTGTTACTGAAAAATGATTTATAAGTGTTTGTTGAGGTAACAGATTACCAAAGCTGGTAATAGATTAAAATAGACTCTCTTGCTTGAAACAAGGCTGAAGAATCAAAATTTTCATCGAGATAATCGATTACCACTTGAGATAATCGATTACCACAAAGTGAAACTCAATTCTAGGTCTTAGAAAGCTCAGGATAATCGATTACCATATCCCGTAATCAATTATCCTGGTAGTTTTATGTTCGTGGTTCAATTTTAAAGAGCTGGTAACAGATTACCATATTAGGTAATATATTACCTTTGTTATTACTCTTTATAACTGAATCATGTCTTAATTATTGATTTTAATGTATATTCAAACATTTTGGTGGGAATAATGATGTTTAAAAAACTATATTGGTTAACTAGGAATGTTGTATTGAATTATTATTGGTTGTACACATATATTGGTAGAAGAGACCTCTTGTTGACATTATGCAATATGTGAAATGTTGTGTGTGGACCATTTGAAGGTCATGTGATGTGAAGTCTAAGTTGACTCTTAGTCACGAATAATATTTGAAGCATATTGTCTTGTGCTCTAATTACAGTAATTAATAATAGATCATAATAATTTTGTCTAATTTCTTGGATTTATGAATCTATAGGTGCTTGTGAGTTCCAATGGGAACCTTATGGATGGAATAAACTTAATTAGTAAGGAGTAATGGATGTGAGAATGTAAATTGAGGGCAGATGATTCTTTAATCATGTTTATTGTATGTTGTTTCTAATTGGAATTTGTCAAATTGCATGTTGTTGTCATGTGTGAATTCTACAATTTCTATAAAAGCATTATTCCTAATGCAACATTGGGTTCCATGCATGGCTACCAAGTGTAGAAGTGAAAAAGAGCTAAGGGTTTCTCTCTACAACCTTTACGCCAAGTGTGAAAAGGTTCACGCTGGGTGTGGAAGCTCCAAGGGCTCCCTATTATAAATTTACTAGCATAAAAGGCTTATGTCAAGTGAGTTCCTTCTAGAAAGCAACACATTCTCCTTCCTTGGACTATGTTAGGAGGTACCCCACGTCGGGCATCACCTTGTCCCCATGTAATATTTTT